GCAGCCTATATCGCCGTTGGCGCAGCAACACTTGTTAGTTTCCTGGTCATATGTGGTTCAATTGTCACAATTGGTGTGCTCTATAATGATATTACCTCACTGCAGGATGAGTTCATGGATGACTTGAAAGAATTCAAGGTTGCTTTTTGACACCCCTTTATCGTACTTCAATTTAATCAACTTTTGTTTTCATAGGTACTGAAATTTTTGTTTTTTTAACAATGGTAGCAATTTTTAAAAATGAGTTTCTATAGAAGAGATCGCGGTGTGTATGTCATGTAAGTTATACAAAGTACATTTAGCACTTGGCATCTGATTCTTGGAAGGAAATGATGACAATCATAACAGAACATCCGATTGAAAAAAGATCTGCTTTTTCAAGCGCAGGATTTCTTAAAGGATTCAACCACCGAATGAAAAGATCATGCGGTAGCTGTTACTCCAGTTGGAATTTGAGACGCCGTAAAGATTTTACGAAATAAAGCTTTTGAAAAAAACTTCCACTTTAGGGTGTATGAAAAAGGCGAATAACTGTCCAGCTGGACCACCAGGCCCACAAGGACCTAAAGGAGAAAAAGGGTTGGATGGTATTCCTGGTGAGGATGGTAAAGATGGCATCGATGGAGTCGCTCTTCTTTTTGAAGAAAGCCGAGAGTCTGGTTGTATCAAGTGCCCGGCAGGCCCTCCTGGACCTCCAGGACCTACGGGACCAGCAGGAAAACAAGGACCGGATGGTACGCCTGGAAAACGAGGACCTCCTGGAGGTGATGGCAAACCAGGGCCAGCTGGAGAGAAGGGTGTCAGTGGACCACAAGGTTGGTTTCAAAATTAATTGTTCTTCATAAAAAACTAAAGCACAGGGTTTGATTTCTCAAACTCCTGATTTCCAGGTCCGCCAGGCCCACCAGGCCCACAAGGACCGAAAGGCAAAGATGGTAAACGAGGAATAGGAAAACCTGGGCCTAAGGGACCGCCAGGACTGCCAGGTCCACCAGGAGAAATGGGCAAGAAGGGAATCCCTGGTGAAAATGGGCCGGTAGGTGAACAAGGACCACCAGGCCCTATGGGCGAGAAAGGTAGTGCGGGTGAGGATGGCAAGCCTGGTCCACCTGGTATTCCTGGTATTCCTGGAAATGACGCACAGTACTGTCCTTGCCCAAAACGCCTCTCAGTTAAGGCTTGAGGATGCGAATGCATTAGTGAATCGAAATCATAATGAAATAATTAAGTTGCTTTACATTCAGATTGTACAATGAGAATCGTTTCTAACGTCGTTGTCCTTAGCGCCAGAATAGGTTTTTAAGGAAAAAAAAAA